CTCTCTCTCTCTCTCTCTCTCTGCAAGAGGGAACCAAAATTCAACGAAGCGAATTTGAATGAGAATTTTGAAGCAGACAAAGGAAGATTTATTTCTGCTTTCTTCTCAAATATCTTTTTTAAATTTGTTTTAGAAATTTTATTATTCGAACAAGTGAAGGAAAATAAATTTTAATATTATATCACTTATAAATAAGAATTATCAATTTTTTTTCTACAGAAAAATTTGTCATTCTTATAGAATTCGTTTTCACAGGTAAAGATAAGACCTTAAGGCTGGCGTATACCTGAGAAAAGATGGACAACCGTGACATTCCACGAGAGATTAGATTAACTTGCACTCTTCCCTCAAGATCAAAAGTGCAAGCGATTCTACGAAAAAAGAAGAAAAAAAGAAATAAGCCGAAATAAGCGAAATAACCAAGGACCTACAACTACAAAGTCCGATTGTTCCTCATCAAAGGGTTCCTTCTCGTAAAAATCCTTCACTATTTCTTCCCCTTTTACGGCGAAAACCCACTGCGAATTTTAAAGATAAAAATGAAGAAACAAGTCTTTGAAAACTCTCTTCTATTAAATACAAACTCAACCGCCATCATCATCCTTTATCATCGTTACGTATATAATACCTACCTGCATCCCTGATCGCCCTTTGAAAAGCGAAACGCCCCCTTTAAATTCCCTTTTAATAAAAAGATTTCTAAATCGATCGAGAGTAAACGACCCTCTCCCCTATTCGCTCTAGTCAAAAGTCACGAAGAAAAGGCGAAACCGCCACCTAACGGTACCCGCACACGTCCAGACACCCTATATATATATCCTCTCGTGGATACGAAATCTCGTGGAAATCTCGTAGAAATCTGGCCCTTCGAAAGGGAAAAACCTCGGTGAAATCGAAGAAAGGGAATCCACGGACGATAACGGTAACGACGAGGCGGTGGAAAGCCGGTTTAACATCGACCAGTTTCGACTCGATATATAATATATAAAATATATAGCGGTGGAAAGCCTCGAGGCAGAAAACTACGTATTCCTACGAATTTATCTATCCGTCTACCCGTTCGATCCTTTTGCGCACCTGTCAACACGCATCGTCTATCTTTGCAAATACCAAAGCTGCGCGCGATACATGTATACGTGTATATATATACATATATCGGTTATACACATATATCGAAGGAATCATCGTGATCGAATGATGGTGATGTTAATATGGTTTGGCTTAGAGTCTATTCGAGAGCGTGGGATTATCGAGCAAGTCAGGGAGGGGGAGGAGTGGGTTATTGAAGTATTGATCTTTGGGAATTGCTATCCACGCGGGATGCACACGAGCCGAAAATCAGGGAGCGATTTCTCCGGGCAGAAGCAAGTCTCTCATTGTCGAGAGACAAACAAGTTCACGGTTAACAGGAATTATCATCTATTTTTATGTTTCGCCACGGATAATTGGATTCGATCGTTTTTTTTACCTTTTTTCCGAATATATATAAAACCTGTTCGCATTACGCGTACAATCAAAAAATGCACGGCAAAAAAGAACGAGTATTATAGAAATCGCAATGATCGTCCAACGTTCATATTTAATTGAAAACCTATTACGTTGCGTGTCTTTCTTTTTTTTTTTTTTTTCAATTCAACAAGCAGCAGACGTTTTTTACGCGGGATATGAAATTTTCCTTTTCAAGAAGAAACTCGATTCTCTCTGTCTTCGTTCAGAGATAGAGAGAGATAGAGAGAGGGAGAGAAAATGTGGCGTTTGCCCGGGCTTGTTCGAGCGAGGTGTCGAGCACGTGTGCAGGGCCGAGGATCCGCGCGACCTGCATTCCGCGTTTAGCATTCCTTGACATCTCGTCGCTCCTCCTCATCCCTCTCGTTTCTCACGGAGAACGCTCAAGGACGGGAGCGGGCGCGGAAGGCACACCCGAGCATGCTAATACACGGCCCTGATCACCGATCCACGCGATGACGTTGCTCGTTAAGCCGCTTCTAACGGGCGTCCGAGGAAAAATAAAGCATCGATCCAACAGCCGATCAATAACCGAGCGGAGTAATGTGACGTACGAATGTAATGGGTCGGAGTACGAAGTATTTCGGATATATGGGGTCGATGAAATGTCAATGGGATCGCGCGCGGATCATGCGTCTTCTAAGCTCATTCTACCGGGTGTCTGAAGAAAAATAAAACGAAGCAAATAATCGATAATGTGTAATGTAATGTAATGGGTTGTACGAGTATTTTGCATGTGCAGGGTCAACGAAATGTCAATGGGATCGCGCACGGACGATGCGTTTTCTAAGCTCATTCTACCGGGTGTCTAGAAAAATAAAACGAATCCAATAATCGAATGGAGTATGTAATGTAATGGGTTGTACGAGTATTTCGCATATGTAGGGTCAACGAAATGTCAATGGGATCGCGCACGGACGATGCGTCTTCTAAGCTGCTTCTACCGGGTGTCCAGAAGAATAAAACGAATCCAATAACCGAGTGAACTATAATAATGGGTTGTACGAGTATTTCGCATACGTAGGGTCAATGAAATGTCAATGGGATCGCGCACGGACGATGCGTCTTCTAAGCTGCTTCTACCGGGTGTCCAGAAAAATAAAACGAATCCAATAACCGGGGGCCCTATAATAATGGGTTATAAGAATATTTCGTACGTATAGGGTCAATGAAATGTCAATGGGATCGCGCACGGGCGATGCGTCTTCTAAGCTGCTTCTACCGGGTGTCCAGAAAAATAAAACGAATCCAATAACCGAGTGCACTATAATAATGGGTTATAAGAATATTTCGTACGTATAGGGTCAATGAAATGTCAATGGGATCGCGCACGGACGATGCGTCTTCTAAGCTGCTTCTACCGGGTGTCCAGAAAAAAAAATCCAATAATCTAGTGGAGTATGGAATGTACTGGTAATATTTCGGATATATAGGGGCAACGAAATGTCAATGGGATCGCGCACCAATGTCTTCTAAGACGCTTCTACCGGGTGTCCAGAAAAAAAAATCCAATAATCTAGTGGAGTATGGA